AAGAGGTTAATTCTCTCTTTTCGGGGCTCTTTTAGGGCTGAAAGTTCCTGTCTTCCTTCTGGAGACATCATAAATTAAACAGATTTCTGGCAGTCTGCGTCCCTCCCGTCTTCCTTGAATGTAATTCCTAGAAAGAAGAGACATTTTTCATTGTTCTGGAGAGAGCTCCAATGGCTTTGTAGGAGGACATGTATAGTTCATAGCAACTACTCCCCCTTGGCATGAAATGCCTCCTCAGGTTTCATGTTCCCCGTGGGAACATCAGCATCGCTGTCAAAGAATATTACATTGCAGAGATAACTGTCGGGTCAGTCATCCAAGCACTTCATGGACATCCCCTGTGTTTCAGCTCAACACAAGTTGGCCTTTGAAAATGGGGATATACCACCACAGCAGTGCTGGAGGAGCTTGGGAACCTGCCAAGCTCAGGGGTGGCTGAGTTGCAGTGGTACAGTATCCATGCTGGCTCTCGGTGGTAGAAATGCACATATCTTGAGTACACAGGCTCCCGGCTGCTTGACGCAGGATTGAACATTAAAATTGTTCAATTTAAAGAGGTGTTAAGCTCCATGGGAGCCGGTGGGTGGCCTGTTGGGTCACCAGCCTTTGCTTAAGCCTTCTTTCTTGGTGGCATTTGACATAATTGAAGATGGGCTTTGGGTTGGAGACAGGCTTTGGGTTGAAGACGGGCTTCGGGTTGAACAAAAGTTTTGGGTTGAACACAAGTTCAGTTCCCACGTGAGCAAAGCCGATGGGTGGGAAGAGCCATTTGCTTACCCTCCATACCTGTCTTTTCCCAGGCGGTCACAGCAAACCCTGACTCTTCCTCTGCTTCCACCCACAGATGCCAGTACATCGCCCGATGCCATGAAGAGGAGCCATTGGTGCAACGTGGCCTATTGGGAGCACCGGACGCGCGTTGGCCGCCTCTACACAGTGTACGAACAGTCTGTCAGTATATTTTATGACCTACCTCAAGGAAACGGCTTCTGCCTCGGACAGCTAAACCTGGAAAACAGGAGTGAGACTGTGAGAAGGACTCGAAGTAAAATCGGCTATGGGATTTTACTTAGCAAAGAACCGGACGGTGTGTGGGCTTACAACCGCAGCGAGCATCCCATCTTCGTCAACTCCCCAACACTGGACATCCCCAACTGTAGGACTTTGATAGTGCGCAAGGTGATGCCGGGCTATTCCATCAAGGTGTTTGACTACGAGAAGTCCTGCCTCTTGCAGCACACGTCTGATCTGGATTACGCAGACGGGCCCTATGACCCAAACAGCGTGCGGATTAGCTTCGCCAAAGGCTGGGGGCCGTGTTACTCGAGACAGTTTATCACGTCATGTCCTTGTTGGCTGGAGATTTTACTCAGTAACAATCGATAACGGTCAGCTTCTGACGAAAGGAAAAAGAAAAAAAAGACACAGACTATCCCAAATATCATCTACCTAGATTTAATATAAAGTTTTATATATTATATGAAAATATATATTATACTTGTAATTATGGAGTCATTTTTACAATGTAATTATTTATGTATGGTGCAATGTGTATATGGACAAAAAACAGAAAATGCACTTTGGCTTATATAATTCTTTCAATACAGATTTTTTAAAAAAAGAAAAATTATACAGCAAAAATAGGAGAAAGCCCTAATTTTGATGTATGGTTTTTTGAAATATTATTAATACCCAGACAAAAAGCTAATACCAGTCACTCATTGATAATAAAGTATTCGCATTATAGGGGGGGGGTTAATTGTCTTTCTTTCCCCCCCCACCCCCGGCTGAAGTCCGCAGCAGTGTCTGCTTGGGCACTCTGCAGTCGGGGGGGTTTCCAGAGGGACCACCGCTGTCTCCCATCTCAGCCAGGACCCTTAGAAAGACAATAAATGAGTTCCTGGTAGGCTGCAGTTGTCTCCAAGAGGATGTAAATGAGGACAGTTTGAGAGCCAGGGAGGAAATGGAGAAGGTGAGAGGAAAATCTTCCATAGCTGTTCTTGCTCAGGGCTCTGTGATCTGTCTGATAACACAAAATGCGATGGGGACATTGTGAAGATGACCGTGCATGTTTGTGTTTGTGCAAATTAATGGTTATCAGTGCAAATCAATGGGTATCAGTGCTGGTGGGAAGAGCAGAGTAGACAATGTCCCTAAAAGCTGCCCAGTAGGACCAGTATGCATTATCAGCCTTGCACGGGGGTTGTCTGTGAGTCTGGTATCTCCCAGACATGTTTGATGGTTGAGAAACAAATGGTGGTTTTGGACAACTCACGGCTGGATAGATCCTCAGTTGGAGACACCGTAGCATGGCCTGAATTTCGGGAACCGCTCCAGTAACTTGAAATAAGGCGGAGGTGAGTTGGATAAGTTGCGTGCAGATTTGTCCTATAGATGTCCCAGTCTGTCATCCAGGCAATAACTGATACAGAATTGTTTGGGAAGAATATATTTGCTCTGAGGAGCAGTTGCAGCCAGAAGTCCTGGTCAAATGAGCTTGTCTCGGCTGATTTACTCTCTCTGGAAATCCTCGATAAAATCAGGCACTTCGCTGACTTCTGCATGAGCTTCATTGCTGTCAGCACTGTAGCACCCATGCGCTTGCATGGGCAGGTTGGACGTTGTCTGGCTTCGCTTGATTAGTAAAGTTATTTATTGCAGTGACTAGTGTTGCCAAGTCTTAGAGTTGTATTACAAATCCCTGTACATTTGATTTTCATAAAGTCGCGGTCTCTGGAGTCTGGTGACTGCAGAAGCACCTCAGCTTTCAATGTTACAGAGGATGTTTTTGTAGCCCTCATATTTCCAGAGAAAAACATGCAATGAGACCTCCTCAACGGCTCAAAACTCAGAGAGAGAGTAAAATAGGACATAAACTTACTATTACAAAGCCCTCCTGATGCATGTCAGGGTCATGCATTTTTGGCAACTGGACTTGGTGTTTCTACAGCAGCCATGAGCGAGGATGGGGAAGGTGGGGACTGCATCCCACCAGGGAAATGCACAAACCTGGGGTGGATGTCAGGGAGAGACACGAGCAGGGAATGTCGCTATGACATTTCTGCAGTCATTTTCAAATTATAACCATACTTGATATTTAATTGGGACCACATTGGTTGAGTTCATACAGCATCAGTATTAATACTTGACATCATTAATTTTTGTTTGTGTTACAGCCATTGTTGTCAGGGAACGGTGTCGAAACATGTCACTATCGTTTAAAGCCAGCTTTCAAGAGCTTTGCAGGGCTTTTTTTATCCCCTTTGGCTTAGATTTGGTGTGTCCTGCCATACCACCTACATCACTCACTGTATCACTTTCACGCAGTCGGTCAAGAGGCCATTTTTATGTTTTGGGTGTTTTTAAAGAGATTTTTGTTAATACTGTCCTCATTTTAACTGGGAAGAACCAGCCAAAAGCTGAGTTGCTTCTCCCTGTTGCCTTTTCTCCTCTTTCCCAGCATTTCCCACCACAACCCAGAAGGTTTTACATTCACATCCCGAGCTGGCTGCTGCCTTCCTCTCTGTCCTCCTCCTCCTCACATGCACACATGGATGCAGCAGTGCTGTCATTTTCCACTTTCTATCGGCTTCTTCCATATTTTGGACAAAATAGCACCAAGGATGGACATGGTTGGTTGTTTTTACACCACCCACAAAAGACCTCGTCCCAGTGCCCACTGAAGCTGTTGTTCACGTGCAGTTGATTTTCCCTAACTTAACTCTTTGCATTTGCAGTGCAGCTGGGCCAGTCGGGTGCCTTTCAGCCCCGTTCCGGGTTTGCATCAGTGAAAGGATTTTTGTGGGTTGAAATTTGAGGGTTAACTTTGGGGTTTCCCTTGTGCAATCCACTGATCATGCTTAATTTTTCTTTTTTTATTACTCATGTGCTTCCCCAGGAATAAATCTGGAGTTTTATTTCAGTTGAGAGCAAGGCTTTAAAGGGAATAAAAAAGGATTTTATAGTGACGCAATGAGATAAGACATCAAGAATTCTTTTCTGTTCCATTTCTCCCCTTTAATACCTTACTGTAATCATTCAAACTTAGGACCCTTTAAAGAAGCTTTAGGACTTCCAAGCTATTGAATTCCACGCTGGACCCTCGCAAAGCTCAGCTGAAGCTTTCCCCATGTGATCCCCCGCACTAGGTTTGAACCTGAGGGCTGCTCGGTGACTGTAAGTTGGCACTTGGAGCAGCCCTTGGGGTGGCTGTGGATGGAGGGCACTTAACATCAGGGAAAGAAGAATTACTTCCCTGCCAGGGTTTGCAGGAGCAGCTGGGCATCGTTGGGTTTTGCTAACGACCCAATGGGTCTCTCATGTGCCCACACCCACAGCTGCTGGCGTTTGCTCATCTGCCCCAGCCCCTATGAAAACAGGATGGCCACAACTCCCTGCCTTCTGGGCTGTCTCCTGGGGTCCTCCAAATGTGGTTCCTTCTCCTTTCTGGAACAGTCATGGTCCTCCCAACACCTGAGGTAAGTGGCACATTGTCTGCTCTCGTTCTTTTAAGATCTATATGGGGTTACACCATTTTAAGGGCAGAAAAGAGAACAGTCCCTTAGCAGGAGGGTGCTGGGGTGTTTCCACTTGGACTGAGCTCCTGATACTGCTCTGGGTGCCCTGATACTGGGGTGCTGCTGGGTTTTGCATGATTGCTTTTGAGCTGGAGCTGGTTTAGCTTCGTCCTGGGAAGGTTGTTGGGTCACCCATGTGGCTAAATTATCAGTGAGTGCTTTTTTTTTGGAGGGATGTGTTGGGCAGTGCAGCAGGGAAGTGCTTTTTCCTGTAGTAGTGCTGGGACAGCCAACGTGCTGCTACAGGGGGTCAAACTCTGAGCTGAAGGAGCTGGATGTGCCACTACTCAGTAGCATGGCAGGATCCCTGTAGCACTCCCCAGTCCTGCATGGTCAGAGGAGGCATGGAGGCAGCAAATCCCTGAGCAAACACACCTTTCCACCTGTGCTGAAGGGTTTCAGCAATACACTGACCTTGGAATTTGCTCCAACTCATTAGTTATTTGTATGGAGAGGTCATGGTTTTGTTGTAGGATGGGGATGTTTCATGGGTTTGGTGCCTCAGCTGATCTTAAGCTAGTGAGTCTCGCCCTTCCAAGGCAGTGATTCCTTATCAGGTGGAGCTTCCCTAGACCACAGCCCTCAAATTTCCTTGTCAACGAGGAGTAAGATCTTGATCCTGCAGAAAAGCCTGAGATGAATGGTCTGACTCACCATAGCTGCTTTATGGTGGTGGGACAAGGAGATGTTCTAAGGTGTTTCTCGGGCAGCGAAACTTGCTGGACACCTTTATCTGCAAGTGCCAAAGCATTGGCAGAGGCATCAGCTGGTTCCTCGTGGTGTTATGGGTGCAACCAGGAGGTTGAAGGCTACATGGTCTTTCTGGCTTCCCTGTGCCAAATACACCCAAAGTCTACTGAAGTGGAAGTCCTGAATTAGTAATTCTCCTAGTATTGGACCCGAGTCCTTATGGGCTTTGACTTGTGGAGTGTTTTTATTTGACAAGATCCTCTTAATTTGAGTAATACTGCATTTCAAAACTGTGCAATAGGCTGATGAGAAGCAGCCAATTGCTGCTGGTAGGTCCCAGAGACTGCTGCTCCTCCTGTGAGAAGATGATCGTCATCCCTGTCCTTGATGTTCATTGCTACTACAACTGAGAAATACCTTTTACTAGCCAGAACAGAAAAGAAATGAATGCTAAAAGGAACCACATTCAGCTCCTCTTAAAAAGAGAGGCTAAGATCACTTTGTAGCACAGGCTTTGCCACAGTTCTACAGGATCTGTCAGTCTTTAGACCATAATCCTTCTTCTCAGGACTTTATCTCTGCAGTAAAAGTGCGGGGGACTTGTTCAATGCATAATTAAAAGTTGAATATTGCTTCCCCCCGCCCCC